GGTTTGCTTCTGATTTTCCACCACTTCTACAATTTGGTAAAGCATTAACTACGACCAAAATTACGTAACTGCTTTAGATATTCAGTCCATGCTTTTAAAAGCGAACTACATATTTCTTTGCGTTCAATATTTTCTGAAGAACCAATTTTTTGTTTGTACAAACCGATGTTTTTATTTTCCAACACCAGGTGCTCATACATATGAAGTAGCAAGATTTCTATACGCATAAATTTGTTTGTAGAACTTCTTAATTTATTTTGTATTTTAAGTACAATAAAGGGTGGGTAATAAAGTCAATTGACCTTATTTCCATTGACCTTATTACCTGTCACCGCTAGAGCAATCAGCGCATATGAAACAAAGTTGATGCTTCGTTTGTTTTTGGCTACCATTGGTGTTTTGAAAATGGAAAATTCAGAAAAAATGGGTGACTGGTAATAAGGTCAATGGAAATAAGGTCAATTGACTTTATTTCCCACACTGGTGCGAAATTAAGGCAATTGGCATTATTACCTTTTCAAAAGCGAAATAAAGTCAACAAAAATTTGGAAATAAAGTCATTGACGCTATTTCCTCATTCAAATGGAAATAGCGTCAACAATGCTTAAAGTATGTCGATTCATAGAAAAAAATGTTGTTCTTACAATAACACTGACTCGTAAGTGTTGTTTTTTAATAGATGAAAAACGTTATTGCCAAATCCCCTCAGTGTTGTGATATTAATCCACACACAATCATGAACTACCACCAATTGATTGTATTAAAAAAATTTTAATTACGAATATGTAAAAACACGATGCGAAAAACTAAACGCCTGCGCACAGCTGGAATACGAGAAATATTTGAAGAAAGAGCGTAGAAATGATCCATAACTTGCAAAACATGTTTCGTTTCCACAAAAATAAAGCGAACACCATTAAATTGAAGAAACAGTCCATGTTCAAAAACCCCGGAGGAACACTGAAAGAATTCTTTGTTTTAAATTAGCATATTTTGAACGAATTCGGAATGTCTAAGGAGGAAAAGAAACCAACCTATCTATAAGGAAACAATTATAGAAAAAGAATTTTCTTACACTATTTATTAGATGGCACATTCAACGAGCCAATGTGCCACAATGCGGGTATAAACATTTATTATTTAATATCGGAACCGAGATCATATAAGTTAATTGATTGGTTTTCACACACTTTTGAAACACAAATTATATGATTTTTTACTGCAGACAAGTTGTTGCCAAAACACAGCAGAAATCTGCCAATCAAGGCACCCAACTATCCTTAGTTATTAGGTGCCATATTGAGGATAAAAAGTGCATAAATGTGCCAAATAAAAAAATAAAAGTGTCAATAAAGGTGTCATTCGTTTTAATCATTCACATTTAGCAATAAAATAAAGCTATATTTTCCAAACAAAAGCGCAATGATAAAATAAGATAAACCAGTTGAATAGCCTTTATAAATTAAAAAATTTTAGTTGAGAAAAAGAAGTGCACGCAAATGATTTCACAAAAATGTATTGACATGTTATTTTTTTACAAATTGAAAAATTAAGTGTCATTTGAAGTACAATAGGGACCAATGGCACGGTTTGAGCCAAGTTGGCATCCCTGCTTCCAATAACTTACAAATATAAAAATGTGAAATATCGAGGGCTTGAATTTATTAATACCCTCTATCTGCAATTTGCACAAAAACTAATTTGCGATTTTAGGAACCATCACGGCGTAGCGTGACGTGGTGTGCGCGCTGGTCGCGCGGGGTACGCAGGGCGCGAGCGCGAGTGCGGCGCGCGCGGTGTGGTGCGCTGACGCGCGCTGCCGCGAAGCTAAGCAAAGTTAATGTTTGAAAGAGAAATAATGTCAATGGATTTTATTTCGTTTTTAAAAAGGTAATAATGTCAATTGACTTTATTTCGCACCAGAGTGAGAAATAAAGTCAATTGACCTAATTTCCGTTGATCTTATTACCTGTCACCGAAAAAATGTTCATTACTAAATTGTATATTTAAAATATGCAATGTATAAGGTTGCAATGTGTCACAACTCTGCCTTTACAAACAGTTTGCATACCGCGGTATAACAGTTTGCAAACATTGTATTGATACGTTTTGGAAGTCATCCTATGTATGTGGATAAATCATGGACAGAATGATGAAAGGTGATGGTTGTTATGCATGATTATTTGACACGCTCAGAACAAAAAGGACGAATATTATAAGTCAGAGCAAAAATTAACTTAATTTTTTCCTAGAGCAAAAATGAAGCAAATCGACAGCATATGTGTGAGCTTTGTGTGTAAGTGGTATTTCGTGCGCGCTCGGTTATTTCTGCTTTTGCTTTTGCGTTTGCGGTGATTGGCAAAATTTAGCAGCGAAAAACATTTATTTGTACATTGCAATGCTGCAATGGGTTCTGTAGTCTCGTGTCCATAATTTGAGTATGCTTTTTCAACCTGTAGCAAACGCAGGTTACGTAAATTAATAGAAAACCAAATACAGTATTCCCCGCTTTATTGCACTTAAGAAAGTGGATAATTTTTGGTTCAATTAACCGATACTCGTTTAGTTAAACAGTTCGTTCAATTACAGAATAATAAGTAGAATTCCCCTTTCTGTGTTGCCGGAGAAGAGCGGCGGAAATATTTTTGCGCAGAACTCCTTTCTGCGTAGGCGGCCTTCGCTTCGCTTTGCGCTTAAGGATTATAACTCTTACTAATTGGAGTTGCCTGAAAACAGCGGCGGAAGTATGTTTGCGCAGAACCAGGGATGCAAAAAAAACATCGATGCATCGGAAACATCGATGTTTTCTATCGATATATCGATGTATTTTTTTCGATGCATCGACTGTGTACGGACTAAAATTATCTTGTATGCTTTCAAACTCTTTGCTCTAGAAACTATTCTAAATGTGGATTTTCACTATTTATGCACTATTAGAATATACATATATATTATTAATATTATCTAAAATGTTATTGCACTAATAAATTGCTACTTTTTTAGTAGAAACGTTTAGTGCCAAAATACCATCTACAATATGATATTAATTGATAAGATATTGACACTCTAAAACCATTTGGAAATTTGGACCAACATAGTGAAATAATATAAAGTGTGCCAGCCAGTTTTATGTAAGCTTATTTCAAATCAATGTGTTAGTTTCGTAGTTTTTTCAATTCTGGCACTAACCCTTTGTTTTTGTTGCATACCTCTGCCCGAATTCGGCTTAGATCCTTATCCTGATGGACTGAAAACACCAGTACTACAACGTTATATGTGCTTTTGCACAAGCGGCAAGAATTTATTGGCATTTGTTTATGTAAAAAACTTCATAATTCCTCACTCAAAAGGGTTAACATAAAAGTCAAATAAAAACAAGTAAGAGCAGCACTGTCTTCGGCTATGCCGAAGGCTTCATACCTTTCATGAACGTTTTACAGTAAAACCCCATATCTGAACAATCAGTTGT